CACGGGGCGGTTATTCCAAATACGTCTAAGCCGTACGATCAAGGTCCCCACTCCGAAATTTGTAATTCATGTGGACCCCAGCCCAAAAACTACTTGGCCGTTAAATTTCCAATATTACCCTTGAACTTCATATTATTCTCAACGTGACCTAGGGCCATTCCACTATAAATCCGCCCTTCTACACCAGCTATGTTTGCCAAACTTAAGAGCCTCAGGGGCCCTTTAGAAATATAATAATAATATAAATTTATTCTCTCTCTCTCTCTCTCTCTCGAAATAATCTCTCTCAAAAAATGGCTACATCGTCTAAAAAATCAAGCGGACCGGTGTTACCAATAGCGTCTGCGTTCCGGCGATCGATCTCTCCGTCTGGTCGGTTCTGCAATTCGGCGATGGGGATTTCAGACGTATCGTCGTTCGCCTCATCATCCTCGTCGTCGTTTACGTATACTTCGAATTCATCGAGTGGTTTCTTCCAGAATCACAGGTCATCATCTCCGACGCGCGTGAACCTTCACGCTATGTCTTCTTCATCTCCGACGCCGTCGGTAAGGTTCTCCATCAACAGATCTGACTCGCCGCGACGTTCCATGGCGGTATCGCCACAAAATCAGGTGGTACGAAAGCGCGATGGTAACAGTATGTCGCTGCAGAAGAGGACTTGCTTGTGCTCGCCTACTACCCATCCCGGATCGTTCAGGTGCGCTTTGCATAAGAATAATTTTGGTAGCAATAGTGGGAATAATCATTCTATATCATACTCGCCCAATCGGTTGAACGCTCGGAGATCGGCGATGACGAATTCTCTTGTGCGGATCGGAACGGTTGAAGGCGATTTGGTTAAGCGAGCTTTGGCGGCTCTGATTCGGCCGTCGTCTCATCAGCAGCGCCGCCGAGTCGATTTCCAGCCTCGTCCTAGCCGTTTGTCTATCATGTCTAAAGCCGAGGATCTGAGAGAGGTCTAGTTCTGTGGGTTACAGGTTGGTTCTATTGATACGGTTTAGAAAAGAAGTTTACTCTTCAGTGATTTCCAGCGAAAGGGCTTTGGCCAGATCTCGGTGGTT